AAAGGAAGAAGCAGAGAGAAAAAGAAACGCCGCCAAATTACGTTGACTGCCTGCCCCACGCAGCGGCTGCCGCATGCCGCATGCCGCCTGCCACATGCCACATGCCCCGATTCTAGATGCCCCACGCTGACTCCGTCCGTTTCGAGTTCGAGCTCGAGCCCGACTTTGAGTTGGAGTTGGAGTTGGAGTTGGAGTTTAACGTGATCCTGGCGCAGTCGCCGCTTGCACTTATTTTGTCAAATGCAAATATAGACGCTAGGCTAAGAGTATATATAAATATATATATAAATGTAATATATATATATATGTGTGTGTGTGTATAGTCCGATAAAGTATGCGTATGTGTGTGCGTTTTTTCTGATGCCAGACAGAAAAAGGAAGGCAAATGGCCAACAGTGAATCTAAAAATTGTTTAATTCGCCTCTGTATATTGAGTATGTGTGCGTGTGTGTGTGCGTGTGTGTATGTGTGTGTTATTTTATATCCTTTGCTCCATGCGGCGTATGCGTAATATGTCTATGTAGTTTTATTTGACTGTCTGGATTATATTGATTTGGCCAGAGTTCGAAGCGAACATTCGCCCGCATACGTGCCAAATGCAATCAAAGTATATTTCTATACATATACATATATATATATATATATCCATCAAGAGATATACACATATATATCCTAACTACCTAAATAGCCATACCTGTCTGCTATTCATCTATCTAAATGACTGGGAAGTAAATAGTTTGGCTCTGGCATTTTATCTTTTCAGTAGAATAACTGAGTAGAACGTATTTTGCTCTTCAATGCTATCGATGCAGTTCTCATCTGCCCATTGGGCCCATTGAATATTGAGTTGAAAACTTTCATCATTCTATTCGATTCATCATATCATATTCCTATCAATTGCCGGGAGAAAAAGTTTTTAAGAGAATCTGCGACTGACGTCGATTCTTAAACGTTTTACTGGCTGGCCAAATAATCTACATAGTAACCTACCTATACCTTATAAGCGACTGCCATTTATAATGTATTTTTTTACCTGTTCTCTTTTGTATTCAGCTTCTTAAACGTTTTACTGGCTACCAAATATTACATACATAAATAATGTAATCTAATATGTATAGTTAATAGGCTAGATTAAGCATAGATCCTTAGTTCCCTGAATTACTATGTTTGTATTTTCGCAAATGTTTTACTGGCAGCAAAGTAACTTCATTTATGTATGATCACAGCTCAAATCAGTTCTACTTTTATATCTCTAACTCTCTTTCTCTGTATGTACAATAAATACATCTCTTTCTTTCTCTCTCTTCTGTTCCGAGCCTTTCTTTCTATCTCTCTTCTTTTCTTTGGCATTCGTAAAGACTTCATCGGCAGCAAAGTAATTCCATCTATTATCACAGTTAAAGTCAGCTCCGTCTCCCTCTCTCTGTCTCTCTTTCTCTCTCTCTCTCTCTCTTTCTCTATCTTATTCTCTCACTTACTCTCTGTGCTGTCTTACTCTCTCCCCCTTGATCTCTCTCTCTCTCTCGCTCTCTCTTTCCACTTTTTGTAGTTTCATAAACGTTTCACTGGCTGTCTTCATAAATTATTCGCCAAGTGCAAAGCGCGCAGCCTCTGGCATTGCGTTGCTCGTCAATCGTCAACGTTTTACTGGCAATTCAAATGCGACTAATCAACAAATTTATGTTTATTCATGAAGCAGTTGATTAATGAGAATGATTAATATTAAGCCAGCGCTAAAGGTAGACCAGCAGCTGGAGGCGGAGCTGCAAGTGAAGCCGGTGCTGGGGCATTAAATACGTGTACTCATTAGGCACATAAGTGCTCTGGCTCTGGCACAGCTTGAATTGCGTGTCAGAGGCATAGAGCCATGTGTATGAATACCTGTATACCTCTACCAGTACCAGTACCCCTCCATGTATGTATGGCTGATCAGCCCAGTGGCCAGGTAGATGCCCAGGTAGGTGCCCAGGCATTTAGCTTAATACAAAGTTGCGCCCTTTCCAATACGAGCGAAGCATTTGCACTTCAACTGCAGTTGCTCATTAGCAAGAAATTATTTCATAACCATTCACAATTATGCGAATATTCAATGAAGTTTTCGACTTTTCTATGTTGCACTCGAAGCCAAAAAAAAAAAAAACAATAATAATCCGACTCGAGCGTTGCGCATGCGCCGCAAACAAAACAAAAAACACGCACCAAAAAAAAAAAAAAAAAAAGACGCGAAAAACTTTGGAGCCAAAGGGAAGACGAGATAAACCGACTCAATTCCAGTTCCACTTTCAGTCCCACAAACCAAGGCTCCAACAGCGACTCCAACTCGCACTCCAGCTCCAGCTCCAACGACGACTGCGACTGCGTGCGTGGGCGTTTATAAATATTTATAATTGCAATGCGATTTTTCAATAAACTTGCAACAAAATTGCAAGCGGCATTTGGTGTGAAAAGTTTTGTGTGTGCCGAGTTCGAACTCGAATGCGAGTTGCGAATGCGAATGCGAATTCGAATGCAAAATACACAATCATTAGCTGAAGCAACAAATCGAGAAACTGCGAATCAGTGAAAAAAAAGTAAAAGAAAACAAACGCACAGCTAGCGGAGCTATAGGACTAAATAAGTCTGGGGTAGCTTTATGCCTTTGGAATGCGTGAAATTAAAACACTGTTATAAAAGAGTAGAGCTAACCACATATCAAACTGAGAGTGAAATGCTCATTTTAGTAAGAGAAAAAAAAAGAAGAGCACTATATAAATATACATATAGGAATGAGTGGAGATGAAACATTATTATAAAAGACCAAATCTACTCATATAACAAACTGAAACTGAAATAATTATTACAAGAGTTAAAAAATGAAACTGGAGCTATATACAAATATTCTATTAGGAATGAGTGGAAATGAAACACTATTATAAGAGAACAGAGTTACTCACATATCAAATAGAGAGTGATATGCCCATTTTGGTAAGAGTAAAAAAAGTAAAGCTACTATATATGTAGACATTGTTTTTGGAATGATTGGAAATGGAACAGCAGAATCCGAACAAGGAATAAAAAATATAAACCATTTTTAATGAAATGCAAAAAATAATGGCGATAACTAACATATAATTCAAGGGAATGAGTGGATATGAAACAACAGTGGGAAATGAAGCGACAATAAGAATTATTTCTCCGAGAAATAAATTAAGTATTTTGTTTAAATTTTTTAGGGATATACATATTATGACGAAGCTACTTATATATAATAATAATAAGAATAGTATATAGAATTTAGTCCACATAGAATATACTACAATATATTTTAATAATATAATATATATTAATATAATAATATATAGTATATACTATAAATCATTAATCTGAACAAAAAAGAATATTTCAAATATATGAACTCTGAACTTTAGCTCACTTTAAACAGTTGAAGAATTTATATGGGATGTATGACTTATAGAGCTATCTAATATATGTATATTATTTATAGCTTAAATGGCTTCGTTTTGTCTATTTTATTGAAACGTTGGCAAAATATTTGCATGAAAAAAAAAAAATGTGGTACGATTCTCAAATTTTGATTCACTTCCCATTTTGGTTGATTGAAGTATTGACAATATTGATAACATGCAGCCGGATGTGAGCTGTGAATGTGCTGACTAAAATCATATAATAAAATACCACATTAGCAAAAAGAAAAAAATTTATAATAAGGAAGAAGAAGAATGCAAGAAAGAAATGAAAAGTGAATAACAGCTAAATAGTCAAGCGAATGAGGAACTGCAGATTGACCGATTGACTGACTGACTGCCCGATTGACTAAGCTCGCCTTCCGGCGTCGATTCGACGAGTTAGCAAAAAATATTAAAAAGAAAACGAAATGTAAAGAAAAGCGAAATGAAAAGCACAAATAGAAGTAAAAAGTTGTAATAAAATTATTGAAAAAAAAAAAAAGAAGAAATGGAAATTGCAATTCCGGCGCCAGAAGCAAATCAAGGTTTGCTCCATAAAAAAAGCAAAAATTATTTGACAGCAAAAGTGAAATGAAACTAAGTCTTGAATATCTCAAATTCATTTCCATGCAGATTCTTAAATATTTATTAATTTTGTTTAAATATTCTTGCAAGGCTTTTCCATTAGATTTTTGTTGCAATTTTGTTTTCATTCTTTGATATATTTATTAAAATAGAAATTTTGCAAGTTACTCAAGGAATTATATGTACTTATATAATTAACATTAGGGTATAATATAATATAATATAATATATTATAAGCTAATATAATATAATATGCGGAACGCTTGTAACTGGAGGCTTGGCAGTATATACACTCTTGATCAGGGTAACGAACTGAGTGGGTTTAGCTTTGTACGCTTGTCTGTCTGTTCGTATGCTTGAACGCGGCAATCTCAGAAGATATAAAAGCTAGAGACTTGAAATCTTTTTGGTAAGTCAGTATATAACACGCATAGATCGAGCTAGTTTCCGAAAATCTATAAATTTATTATGTATTAAATGTATATGTAATGGATTGAAAACCCCTATTAAAAATCAGTATTAAAATTATATGTCTCATATTCTCAAAGATAGAGCTCCCAAATTTTAGAATATAAATTTATATGTATTTTTATAAAATCTTGTACTCTTTTTTTTTAATTTATATTATTAGTTGCTCTTGTAGTCGTGCAGTCTCGACTAGAATTTTCTATATATTATATTATTTTAGACACTATAAATATCAAATATGTATCAAGCAAATATCTTACACTATATATACATATCTATGTATTTTCATATGCCTATCTACATTAAAAAATCAACTAAAATTTGACTTCCAGCAAATACATATATTTTTATATTAAATATTATTAAAACTTATTTTTCTCTAACTCAAATTTAACATTTATTACATCATTTATAATTTCAAAAACTTGTTTTTAAATTCAATTATTTGTATATATTTATTGAATATAATTTATATTTATATTATTGTTCATTTCCACTTACCATAAACGCCAAACACTGCAGTTTAATACTTTGTTGTTGTTGTTGTTGTTGGGTTTGTTGTTGCTGCTGCTGTTGTTGTTGTTATTGTTGTTGTTGTTGTTTCACTTGCCGCCTGCTAAATTTGCATTTGTTTCATATGTTTTGTTGACAAATTTCGTTTTGCTTCTTTTCAAATGAGTTCGAAAGTGAAATTTTTGTTATTTGCAAAAACCAAAACAAAATTTTTGTTCATATTTGTTTATATAAATTTTGTAATTGTTTTTTTTTTTTCAGTTAGTTTTTTTTCTTTTCTCGAAAAATTCAAATTTTGAATTTGATTTTTTTTTTTTTTTTTTTTTAAAAACAAAAAATTTGTTAACCAAATTGTTGCAATTTTTTGTTTATTTCCTTTTTGAAGGGGGGAATTGGCGCGACTTTTATAGCATTTTAGTTGTTAGTTGTGGGCGGTAGGCGTGGCATATGTTGCAAGTTGCAATAAAAAAAACCAAAAAAAAAAAGAAGTTGAAAAGTATATGGAAAATCCAAATTAGACATGAAAATTGTCGCAAGTTGGGCCCGAAATGTTGCAGTTGTTGCAATTGTTGCTTGACTTTTCACACACACACACGCAGGCGTTGAATTGCATTTGTTTGTTGTTGATGTTGCAGCAAAAGTTGCTGTTGTTGTTTTGGTTGTTTTGGTTGCTGTTGTTGTAGTTGTAGCTGTTGTTGTTGTTGTTGTTGTTGTTGTTGCATTGCAGAGTTGTTGTTTCCTTTTATTTGATTATTTTTCTCGTGTAGATTTTTGTTGTATTTATATATATATATATATTTTGTTATAGATTTGTTTAAAAACGCTTGTGTTTGCTATGAATTTTGTTTTAAAACATTTTGTTGTTGTTGTTGTTATTGTGTTTTGAGTTTATGCCTGCGAAATAAAGGTAAGAGAGAGTGAGACAGAGTGTGCGAGAGAGAACGCTAACCAAATCGTATTTCATGTTGCATTGTTGCATTTGAATTTGCATTTGCCGACGCTAAAAGCACGCGACACAACAAACAAACAGTAAAAAAAAAAGAAACACTCAAAAAAAATGTGAAGAAAACAAAGCCGAGCCAGAGCTTAAGGACACACGCACACACGCTCAGACACAGGCACAGACACAAGTGAATTGCGCGCGTAACAACAAAAGCAACAATAAAAAAATAATAAAAACAAACAAACAAAATTTAAGAAATAAATTTGTTTATTTTTTGTTCTTTCAAAATTTTTAATTTCCAAACTTTTGTCAATGAACAAACAAAATATTGTTGCAGGCAATGTTGCTTGAGTGTCGTTTGTTGCTGTTGCTGCTGCTGTTGTTGCCGCCGCGTTGCAAGTGAAACGAACGAGCGAACGAACGAACGTATGAAGGTGTCTGCAAGAACTGCAATCGCATCGCGTGTGAAATCTCTGCGAAAGTCCAAAGCGCAAAGAACGTGCAAAACGTAACGGAGGCGACGACAGCAGCGGCAGCGGCAGCGACAGCGACAGCGACGTCGACAGCGAAGCTAACGTTGCGAGCGCGAGTGCGAGTGCGAGTGCGAATGCGAATGCGCTTCGGTCGCAGCACGACGAAGCAACGACGACGTCGCCTTGCAGGCATGCGTGTGTATGTGTGTGTGTGTGTGTGTGTGAGTGCCTTAAGAGCGCCGCACGCGCTTTGTAAAGAGCAAAAACGCAGCTGCTGCTGCAGCTGGCTGCAGCGCGCTCTCACTGTCTCTCCCTGGCGCTCTCTCTCTCTCTCTCTTTTGCGTGCTCTCTTTCACTCAATGAGTGCGCTGCGAGTGAGCCTCGCACGCAAATCAGCTGCAATCCGACTAACTCAAATGGACACCAGGCCCCATTCAGCACGTTGTGCGCGTTGCGGTCAATGCGGCGTATGCGTAATGCAACGGGAAATTGTAACGGGCCGCGGGCAATGGGAAAAGTCAAAGGCAAAGGAAAAGACACAGCTCTCAGCTGGCCACATGGAAAACATTCCCTAATTAACTTTGATAAAGAAGTGCGAGAGATTTATACACACATACTTATGTATATATCTATATATTGGTGTATCTATATATCTGACGAATTTCATATTTGTTTTCAAAGGATATCAATCAAATTGAATAAGGAAAACATTTGAATAATTTTTCCAACATTCTAAATTTGATATCAATTTATAAAATATACATGTTTTTTATACTGAGCTCATAGAAAATGCGAGATCAAAAGTTTTTTTTTTTTTTTTTCAAATAGAAAATGGAAATTTAGGAGCATATAATTTGTTTAATATAGTTTTTAGTGTTTCATTAAAAACAAAAATATTAAATTTGTACTACTTTTTCGACGTTTCCTGTTTTCTTTCTTTACGTAAATTTTAATCAATACATATTTTTTAAGTTTTTATTTCATAAAAATTGCATTAAATAGAATTTATATTTTATTATTATTACTATATATAAAACAAGATTTTCAATATGAGGAAGACATACAAACAAATCAAACATAATTAGTTTTGAAATATGTGACAAATTTTAGGAGATAAGAAATTTCGCAAAACACAAAAACAAAAATGTTTTCTTTTATATTTAATAATTTTAAAAATCAAAGAAATTTTTTTAATGAAAGAACATTTTCTAAACAAAGTTTTAATTACATGAAAAAATCTCAGAATATATTCTTAGATTTTTGAAATGAAAATAATCACAGATTTATTAAAATATATTTTTATTATATATTTAACAAAACTCATGATTTGATCAATTTTATTTAACTTTAAAAAAATACACTTTTTTGAATTGTTGAAAACACATTTTGTATTTAACAAATTTTTCATTTAATACCATTTTAGTAAAATTAAAATGTTTTTATTTTAATTTATATTTAGAGCATTCTCCATTTAATGCAATTTGTATCGAGTTACAACTTTTTAAGCAATTAAACATAATTTTAAAACACTTTAATGTTTATGTAAAGAAAAATCTTTGTATTTTTTGTTTTTTTTTTTTTTTTTTTTTTTTAAATTAAATTTCAATCAATTCAAAATATGTATTAAAAATTTATAAAAACTCATAAAATATTGGCAAAAATTTCTGCACAATATTTCTCTCGAATTTATACAGCTCATATAATATTGTTTTATTATTAAAAAACACAACAAATAGTATATAACACTCAATCCAATTTTGCTGATTTCTCTATATATGTATCTCTCTCTCTCGCACATGTTTTCCTAGACTTTCTGCTTTTCATATAGTTCGTAATCCTTTCAAAAGAAATATTTTTTATATTAAAAACAATCCCTTTTTTTTTTTTTGGTGGTATAACTCAAGCTTTGTTTCTTTTTTCTATAAATCATATTTCATTTTGAGCAAAAATTAAATATTTTGCACATTCACAACACTGTTTTTTGCGTACGCATAGTTTTCAACACTAGAAAAACTTGGAAAACAAATAATTTTCTTAGCCCAAAGGCCGACGGCAATACTTGAAGATCTCACACACACACACTCTCTCAATCTCTCGCTTTCTTTCCCTCTCTCTCCCACACACTCTCTTTCTCTCTGTCTCTATCTCTGTCACTTTTGAAGGCCGCTTCCTGTTTGATCTTCAGCTCTCCACACACACAAACAAAAAAAACACAAATCCAAAAAAAAAAAACGAAATGAATTCGAATTTGCAAAATGTTTTTTCACTATATTTATAAATTATATATGATTTAATATATATTTACAACAAAATTTGGTATTTTTGCATATTTGCATTTCGCATTTCTTCTTCATATATATTTGAAATATTTAAATAATTTTTTTGTAAATTTCACTGCACAACAGAGAAAAAAAAGTGAATTAAACACAGTAAAAAAATAATGAATAGATACAGTTATTTTTATTTAGGCGCGCGCGTCGCGTTTAAATTTTTGTTTTCAAGTTTTTGAATTATTGAGAATTTTTGTATTATTATTATTTTTTTTTTTTTTAGCTGCGGCAACAATTGACCAAAAAAATTTTATAAGATTTTTTACTTGATTTTTTTTTTTTTTCTTAATTTTGTGATTTTAATTTATGATTTATGGTGATTTTGAATAATTTTTTCTTATTTATTTGCTGTTGGTTGTTATGTTGTCGATTGTTGGTTGTTCTGTTGTTGCTGCCTCTTCCGCGAGCTGCGTACGTGCGCGACAACGTGCGGATCTGTTATGATTCAATACGTTTACGATACGTTACGTTGAACGTCGCCGGAGCACGCGGCAGGCGACGACGTCAACAGCGGCAGCGCGACAGGCTCACACACACACACACTCGCACTCACACACTCACTCACACTCACCAAAGAGACGCAGCAACGCGCAGAATGCAAAAAAAAAAAAAAGAACAGCGCAAAAGAAACGAGCAAGAAGCAGCAACAGCAACGGCAGCGACAGCGACGATTCTAAGCGCTAGCAGAGCGCTCAAAACTTGAGCGCAGCTCAATGCTAGGCAGCGACGCACCGCTGCAATCGGCAAATGCTGACGTCGCGTCGCTGCAGGCAGCAGCCACCCAAAAACAACGACTAAGCATTGCCCACCCACACAAACACAGGCGCAGTTATTCTCAAAGAGCGTGACACACGCGAAACACACTCACACACACATACACTTGCATTAATGTACGTATGTGTGTGTATAGACAGGCTGGCAGGCAGGCAGACAGGCAGACAGCAGCAGCGACTGCGACTGCGAAGCTCTCCATGCCTTGTGTATGTGCGTATGCGTGTGTGTCTCAGTGTGTTGCTCTGCATGCTCTTTGTGTGTGTGTGTGAGTGCGGGCCAATCAAAGCGAAATGAGTCGCAGGCGCAACTCAAAATAATTATTAATTTTATTAATTTACATAATAAAATAGACCAAAAAAAATTAATGAAAAAAAAAAAGTCCGAAAATTCTTCTAACTAAAAAAAAAATTGTAAAAGTATATATTTTTAAAAAGAATTAGAAAAATGAGGAAGAAATTAAGACGCATATAAAGGAAAAGATCTGTTCAAGTTTTGTGGAATAAAAAATAAAAAATTATATACAGCTGTGAACACCAAAATTTAGAGATAATGCAATTTATATAAATAAATGAAAAACTATTTGAAACGAATAGTAATTAAATAAAAATAAATAAACATTTTAGAATATGCTTTTTATTTGGGTCTAAATTTTGTACTGAATTGAAATTAAATTTATGCTAAATTTACATTTACATATATTTCATTTAATGTAATCATGTTTTGCGATATCGATAACAATGACTCATATCGACAAAAAAAATATTTTTAATTAAACCAAACCTAAAGAGAGTGTTATATAAACAAAAAAATATATATGTATATACATGTGTATATCGATTCTTATCGATATCAGCATACAAAATATATGCATATATCAATTTATATCGATATATGTACATGCAGGAAGTATATATACTTCCTATAGATCTCCTAGCTACAACTTTTCGAACAGACCCAGATCGTAAGATCTATAGCAAAATGAAAAAGAGAGAAGAAAATCAATCGATAAATTAGTTCGAGCAACAACAACAACAACAACAAAATAAAGCTAAGACTGAAAATCGAATATAATGATCGCAGCGTTCAAAGAGAACTGAACAGAGAGGAGGGCGGCAGCAGAGGCGTGGGCGGAGGGGGCGTTGGTATAGAGCGGGCTGAAGAGCGAATTGAAAGAAATGCGTCGAGCGAGCGAGTGAGCGAGATAGCAAGATTCACACACAGCAAACTCAAACTGAAACGCACTTGGCTTAATATAGTTTTCTATATCATATATACAAATACATTTATATATATATATACATATACATATATATTCATCTATTGTATATAACGAACGATAAAAGCCGCCAAAAAAAAGCGAAAAAAAAAATATTTTTTTTCGAGTTCTATGCAAAAATGTGCACTAATAAAAACGAAAGTGAGCCGGAGCGAGAGCTAGAAAGAGAAGGTGGTAGAGCGGAAGAGAAGGCGGGGGAGCGGGTGGATAGGTTGCTCTTAACGCCCCCTAGGCACAGCTGCTCTACCCCTATAACTCTCCCAGCCAGCCGCACTCACAGCGATCTCACAAAGAAAGTTGCTCAACAAAAAATTATTTCATTTCATATATAATTTTTCTTAATTTCGCACTAAAATTTTTGTAAAATTAATTTTTTTGTATAATTTTTTTTTTGTTTTTGAATTTTTTGCCACGCAACGTTGAGATTTTTTTTTTCTATATTTTGGGTTTTTCGAAATTGTTTTTGGAGCTTTAGAAAATTGTGAAATTTATTTATGTGGATTTTCTTAGCGCTTCACTCACACACAAGCGACGAGGAGCAAACGAAACAACCGAATGAACAAACTGAACGGCGCTCTGAGCTCTGGCGACGCTGGCGTCGACGTCGACGGCCAACGTTGCGTCCACTGCGCTCCAAACCAAAGCAAACCAAATCAAACACACACACACACACACACATAGACAGAGGCATAGAGACACGCATACACTGACTGAACTACAGTTTTTGTTATTGTGTTTTTTGCAAACTGCAAAAGTCAGCGCTCCAAACACACAGACGCAAATTCACTCACGCACACCGAGACAGCGACAGAGTGAAAACGTCGTTCGCTTTTGTTGCAAAAAAGAAGAAAAAAAAAAAAAAAAAAAAACGTTGCATTGTCGCTCTCCGAGAGCGGGATCCTCCAGTCATCACAGTCGTCGCAGCAGCAGAAAAAGCAGCATGTTGCTAAGCCTGCTATATTCGTGCTCTTCAGCAACATGTCGCCACGCACAGACACACACAAACACACACACACACGCGAAAGCATGGAGCGAGCGTCAGCGCGAGAGCATTCTTTGCCATTTGCGAATTCTCTTTTGTTGCGAATTTTTTTAGGTCTTGTTTTCGCTTTGCGTAACACACACACACACATATATAAGCACGTAGTCAGTGAGAGCGTCGCGTCTAGCTAGCGGGCAGGTGTGTGCGTGTGTGTGTGTGACTGTGCTAAAGAGATCCCAGCGGCTGGCGTTGGCGTCGCCGTTGCCGACGCTGCCTGAGCGTGCGAAAAAATTAGCAAATAAAATAGCAACAA